GACAAACAGCTAAGAAATTGGTACATGGGTGTGTGGAGTTTAGGCGTTATGTGTATCAGAAAGAACATTCCCACATTCCCCACCAAAGAGATGGCATAGATCAACAGGAACAATATGAAGAGAAACACCTTGAGTTCATCACGATCTGTCAGTCCCAAAAGGATAAACTCAGTAACAAATGTAACGTTGACATCAGCCATGTACTTGTGTGTCTTGGTACCTGTTAATGATAGACTTACATAAACTGACAGTAACATTAGAATACCAATATCTTAGGATTTCCTTACTAGGCACGTTATGGTTATATACTATTCTCCCCTCCCCTTTAGTACTTGTGCTTAATAAACATAGAAGCATTAAAATAAACAATCTACAATTTTTGATACACTTTTTCTGTTGCTTTTTAGTGATCATATGCATGATTAAATAGACCTAATGCTGGATGCTTAGCTATATATACATTTAAATGGAATTCATAAGGTTCACAGAAAGCTAAACAGAAGTTCCTTCTAAGTACTGTAAAAGCCTCCTCTATAAAACATAAGAATATGTGCTGGAAATTTAATATGTTTCTCAATTTTGTATTCATCTTTTATTATTTTAATTGACATTAATAGCAGTAATGCAAATATATCAACATATAATATATTTTAAAATGCTGAGATAATTTGGTAGGCTGAACCTTAGTGGTATAACATGTGCTTGGTGCTTGTCATGGTCATGAACCCATAGAATTGGTGTATTCCCTATATCTATATTCATTCTATGCCTTCAAAATTACTTCCCACAGTGTGCGTGAGTGAGTGCATATGTGTGTGCATGCATGTGTGTGTGTGTGTACATGCTTGTGCAGGTGAGTATGTGCATATGACTGTGTGTTTGTGTATGTGTTTTAGCATAATGAATGCAAGGTCTTATGCATGGTATTTAAAACTTCTATAAATCCCTGCATCTGTTTATTGTCTTTTTAATTGTGTCAATAAACAGAGACCAGGCACTCAAGATGATACTGTGAATACCATCCGAATTCTGTGACTCAAGGTTCTGATGGCTACTAGCTTCCATGTTTCATCTCATAGTAATGTCTTAAAATAAAGCAAATATTTAAAATATTAAGATAATTTTGCAAATTCTATTAGTTTTCATGGTGCAAGACAATTTTTAGTGTAGGTAAACTTTATTAATGTTTTACAAATGCAATTCTGTTAGTACAGTGTTTCCCTGAAACTTAAATTTTCACATATACATCATAAGTAAATATAAAATACATATTAGCTATGCATAATAAGTAATATATGGGTGTATATGTTTGCTGAGACTCCTATTGTCATGGTCCAGCTTCTAGTCTGGAGTACCATGTACAATTTGGAGATTCAAATGAACATGCAGTCTGACTCATTCTAAATCTCATTCCAAACTATTGAGCCCCAAGCATAAGGGTGCATAACTGACTTAAAATCATCTCAGGTGTAAATTTTATTTTTAGTTAATTGTTATTTATTATTATATTTATCATATTGTTTGTAATTTATTTTTTAATAATTATTATTTTTTGGCACGATTCACCACACGTGCTTTTTTTAGTATTCTTGGTTCCATTTATTTAAAAAAGAGTATCAGTTAAATTTACTGGTATCTTCCTTTCCTTGCTTATTTTAGAAATGACAAAATTAAAATCACAACTGGAGGCCAAACCAGTTGCTCTCACCAATTCTTTCTGGAGCAGAGGTCATATTTCATAAGTGACTTAGTGAACTTCACTAGATCTTAGTCCTTCTGAAAACTAGATAACTGGTAGCATTATCTAAAGATTAATTATGAACACCAATGTTTTCATATGTTCATTTGGGGTTCCTTTCATTTATACTGTGATTAAAACATAAAAAGTACCATGGTTTATAGGTACTAAATAATAAAAAGAAAAAGTAATATAACATTAAATTACAATTTTAAATGATAGACATAAGTATCTATTTTTGAACTGTATTTCTTCTTTTGCAATGTAAAGTGACCTTAAAAACATTTGGCTTAATTCATTTTGAGTGAGTGTGAATGCGCTCATGTGTGTGTTTCAGAGTCTGTCTGTCTAGGTTTGTGTGTGTGTGTGTGTGTGTGTGTGTGTGTGTGTATCTATACGTATCGAAGAGATGTAAATACATTTTCATGTTCCTGAGGAAAAGAATTATACATAAAGCAAAGAAGTAAACAAGCAAATTACAACTGTGTAATTTGGCAAGTCAATCAGATTAAAATCTGAACATATGATTTTAATCATTAAAACAGTAGTTAAATTATAGCTTTGTTTATGCAATAGTTAAATAATTTAATTTAGCTTACAAATAAAAGAAAATCATTCAGTATCACAGCCCATTTAATGACCTAGTGACTATCTACACCATGGTTTCTCTATCATCCTCTCAAACAAAAATTAAAACAAACACTAAAAATTCTTACTTTTAAAATGATGTGCGTATTCAGCAAATGACAAAAGTTTCAAGTAGCAGGGGTGAAACTGAAATCTATCTGCACATATGCGAGAATCAATGCCACAGAACCCTTGAAATGAAAATATGATCATTAATATCATGCTGGAAGACAAGCTGAGATAAAATATTCTGTTATATATTTGCCTCTGTTCAAATGGAACCATCCCTGGAATAAACCTCTGATCCGAGGACTATGATATACTTGTTGCTCAAAGTTTCTCTGTTTCTTCAGGGATTTAAAAAACACTTAGGAACTTAATGACTCCCCAAAGGCATTCCATTTCCTGAGTGTTTTAATGAAAAACAAAAAGTATAGTCAAAGGAAGTAGACCATATAAGTTTGCAAAATCTTAGCAATAGAACCTACACAGATCTTTGCTTAACTTTAGCCCGTGACTTTGGCTTATGTCACAAAAAGAAAAATATCAAATGAACTGGAAATGTTAGTGGACTCTACTTTATGAAACAATGCCACACCCATAGTTGCTTATTGTTTTCTTCATCTAGGGTGTATCACCTGATACACTGGACTTCATCATAATATTAAATCTCAAACACCATGTGATTAGCATATGTTCACTTAATTTCTAATGTTTTTTCTAAGCACTTTTATAAGTATTGACAAAATCTGTATTCTTAAACAATCATTGCCAGTATGAAACAGGTCACTTCTGTAAACCATTAGATCCATTCTGATCCATCCAAGAGATCCCCAATTCCATTCCCAAAGAATTTATTTTCTCTGTCACACTATTTTACATGAGGTTTTGTGTACTAGAATTTATTTATATTACCCTTCCTTGAGTATCTGTGGAAAACAAGCTTCCTGATTTACTTCAGAAAATTCATAAATATTCTGTTCCTTATACAAAGCAGGAAAACACTACTCACATATATATTTTAATTTTTATTGATTATTTCCAGATTACTAATAATGCCTAACATAGACTCAGTACATATATGAAGTTACAGTGTTAAAGAAATGACAGGAAAAATAGTCTGTGGGTGATTACTGTTTAATGAGCTGTTTCATTTTTAAAACTATCTCAATCTAATTTGACTAAATCTACTGGTGCACAAATCAAAGACTTTGGTAACTATCCTGTGTCTGATCCTCTACATCTGGATATCCAGAATCCATTAATGTGTTAGTAAAAACCCACTATTAATACTTGTGTGAGTTGTTATCGGTCCTATTTAATTGATCTCTATTATCCAAATGTGTGGATTTTGAAGTCTTTATATGGCCTCAAGGAAATGGAGTAAAATAGTCATAACTATATGGGGATAAGTTTGTATGGACCCAGTTCTTTAATTCTGTGGTAAATGTGATTAAGATGAAAATTTTCCAACCCGTTGACACTGAAATTTTCTTCTTTAATATAAAGCAATTGAAACTACTCCTAGTAGTCATGCACAGTTGCTGTTTCTACAAGTAAATGACGAGACACTGCTGTCCTGTTTTACATAATTATTTGATATATTTTAGGATGTTGTTGAATGGGATATTCTACATTATTATAATGTAATTGGAATTTTATTTTTATGTATTGTCACACAATCAGAACCGGTAACTTGTTGCATTTAATATTTCTAGCATGTGCTTCAAGATATACTATTATTTCAGACATAGTCCATGTTTTCCTCACCATTTCTTCTAGTACTTCCAGTAAATGTTTACTCATACACTTTATAAATATAATTACAGTTCTGAGATATCCAATTGCATTTTGTAGCCTTAGTGGTTACACAGGTGCATTTACTATAACCATACACAAGCTCATGAACTCATTAGATTTTTGAAATCAAAATTTGCATATTAACAACATCAAAGTATACAGATGTGAAAATTATTTAAATAGAAGACATTTTAGATCAAGCAAGAAAATATTTTATAGAATTTTTTTCTAATTTAGTGCACAAATTCCTAAAATGGGCCTAAAATAATCTTACTTCATCAGGTGTCTTCAGCATAGAAAGAAAACACAATTCTTTCAATCTGCTGAACATTCCAGTTACATATTTTTTGTGTTAGAAAATACTTTGCTAGTCTATATTGCTCAATAGAGCAACCAGCAATTCCTGTTTGTGAATTTTATTTTTGAATATTTTAATTTGTGTTATCCGTATTGTGTAAATGAAATCATAGATATCTCTATATGTATCTGTAGATATATTGATATATTTGTATATATATTAAGTGCCAATTACACATATTTAATATATAATACATTTAAATTAAATTTTAATTCACATAAGGCAGTGAAAATATTACCAATTGTCTCAGTTATTTTCTTAGGTTTTAGTCTAGGGATAAGGTAAAAAGTCCAATACAATATTGAGAATCATTCCACATTATTATTGAATGCTTTTTTAAAAAATCTCTATAAGACCTAATACTCAAAATGAACAAACACCATGATTCCAGTATATTGAAATTTTATTTGATCATCACAAACATTATTACATGATTCAGTGTCTTATGTTGTTTTCTCAGAAACATACAATCTTGATTCAATGAAGGAAACGTTTCATCTCTATGACTCTTTTCACAGCATCTTTCACTTCCTTGTTCCTTAAACTGTAAATCAGTGGGTTCAACATCGGAATCACCAGGGTGTAAAATACAGACACCACCTTCTCTTGTTCTAAGGAGTACTGTGAGCTTGGCTGAATGTAACTGAAGCTGATGGAGCCATAGAACAAAGTCACAGCTGTCAGATGGGAAGCACAGGTAGAGAAGGCTTTGTGTCTGCCTGCTGCTGAGCGGATCCTCAGGATAGCAGCAACAATGAAGATGTAGGAGATCATCACAGTCAAGAGTGTTGTCATGGCAATGACTCCAGAAAAGACCAAAAGCAACAGTTCATTCATGGAGGTGTCAGAACAGGACAGCTTCAACAGGGGAGGAAGGTCGCAGAAGAAGTGACTGATGACATTTGGTCCACAGAAATACAGCTTCATTAAGCCAATTGTATGTGTCAATGAGGTGATTGTACCTCCTATGCATGAACACAGCACTAGCAGTACACATATTAACTTTGTCATAGCCACTGTGTAAGTTAGAGGATTTACAATGGCCACATAACGGTCATAAGCCATTGCAGCCAGCAGAAAGCCCTCTGTAGTAAGCAATGATGCAAATAAAAAGTATTGTAGTATGCACATAGAGAATGAGATGGTTTCTCTTTCAACAAAGAAGTTTAGTAGCAATGTGGGTGCAAATACTGATGAATAACAGGCATCAACAAATGACAGAGAGCGAAGGAAGTGGTACATGGGTGTGTGGAGTTTGGGAGTTATGTAGATCAGAAAGAACATTCCCAGATTGCCCAGCAAGGAGATGACATAGATAGAAAGGAACAAGATGAAAAGAAACACCTTGAGTTCACCACGATCTGTCAGTCCTAGAAGGATAAACTCAGTAACAAATGTGAAGTTCACATCTGCCATGTAAGAGTGTGTCCTGATATCTGTTAATGATAGAAAATTCAGATAAAATTTGCATCAGTGGTGGGATATCAGTAACTACAGAATTGTGGAATTTTCCACCCTGGTTCTCCTGCTTATATACATGCAATTTAAAAGTCTGTATTTTCTGAAACACTGCTCATTTGGTTTTTCATAAAAGTTTACATAAAGAAAATTCTGAATCATTTGCAGACTGTTACATTTAAGTACAGTGTCTAAGGTACACACAAAGCTAAACTACATCCTTGTGAAAAAAGGAGGGAAAATATAATTTATGAAATCATAAGAACTAATGGTGGAAATATAATGCATGTCTCCGTTGAAGCACTCTTTTACACATTTTGATCATGTTAAAGCAGAGAGTGTGAAACTTATCAAAACACACAATACATAAAATATGATGCCCTCCATAAGTTATGGGGATATACTTCAGTAGATCATATGTAGCCTGCCCAAGAACTTGTACACACACACACACACACACACACACACACACACACACACACACGAGAGAGAGAGAGAGAGAGAGAGAGAGAGAGAGAGAGAGAGAGAGAGAGAGAGAGAATACTGCAATTTACCCACATTCTATTTAAGAATGTAAGGTAATCAACTCGTCTACCAATGTATGTAAGTGTGAATTCATGTGTGTTTTCTAGCTATTGAACACAGCATTTTGTGGATAATATTTATAGCTTGTACTACTGAACCACCTGAATGCTATATTTGTTTGTTTGAGTATATACTGTGGTATACCACGTGTGTGTGTGTGTGTGTGTGTGTGTGTGTGTGTGTGTGACAGTTACAAATTGCTATTACCTGGCAGTGGGAGCACTTGCCTTTAATCACAGCACTTGGGAGGCATAGGCAGGTGGATCTCTAAGTTCAAAGTGATCCTGATCTAAAACAAAGCGAGTTCCAGGACAGCCAGGGCTACAGAGAGAAACTCTGTCTCAAAAACAAAACAAAACAAAACAAGCAAACAAACCCATACCAACATAAATGCTAGTACCTAGGATCAAAAAGGTTTGTAACAATACTTACACAACAGTTTTAGAGGTCTACTCTCAGGGAATGTTATTAAAGGGCATTTAATGTGAAATACAAAGCATTGTGAAAACCACTCAAATCTGTTGCTTGCATTCAATAGAATTACTTCTCTTGGCCTTCTGGATCATATGTCTAGTAGCTTCCACTTCAATGACTAAAATGAAACAAACATTTAAGGTATATACATAATTCTTAGCAAACTGTCTTTGCTACCATGACCCAATCTAGTTTTTACAGTAAGAAGTGTTTTCTCCACATAATAAATGCATTTCTTTCTGTGAGTACAGTGCTTCCTGTGAAACCTTAAACCTTCTTTCACATTTACATTGTAAATAAAAAAATCCACAAAATACACACTAGCTTTGAATTATAAAAAAAATGATTTTCCCTCTCTTTGCTGGCATTGTTAAGATTCTTGTCTTCAGTATTATGTACAATTTGAAGATGAAATGAACATGCCATTCTGGTTTATTCTGAATCATTCCCTACATATTTGTTCCCAGTGATATTCAGAGTAACTTCCTGAAACTACATTAAAATGAACCAGTCCTTTATGCCTTAATTCTTCTGAAGCATTCAAACATGTGTGTCTTTATTTATTGAACTGGCTTCCATGCCTAAAAATATTGTGAAAATTTAATTTATTTGATATTGCCTTTATCTCGCCTATTTTAAAAATAGAGCCATGGCAGTTTAAAGGACACTTGCCACCTGTCCATTAAAATGCATAAACATAACATAGTTTTTAACTATGTTATGAGGACAAACTCAAACTCTCATCAGTACTTTCCATAATAAAGAGCATGTTTCGTAAGGGATTCACTAAACTAACTGCCTCTTGCTCCCTTTGACTTCATTACTTCTTTATTTTGGAACACTGCAACATATTGTATGTGTAAAGCTCTGAAAATACACTGCCATGTAAAAGCAGTAAAATAAAAAACTGGAAGATGACTAATCACATCTAGAATTTAGAGATATTTGAATGAAAGTTTTAAGCCTAAGTGATATAGGTTGCAATCATTTAGGAATAAGACTTCTTTCTATTAGAAGTGGAAGTTATAAAACAAATAATATTTATGTAGAAAAAGAGACAGAACTCTATACAGGGGAATAAATTGTTAAATTACAACTCATTTTCTTTCTTTTTGTTGACAAATTTATTAGACTAAAGTTTAAAATATTTTCTTAATCACTAAATCAGTAAGTAAATAATAATAATAAAAATATATATGTAATTATCAAAGAAGGGAATTTAGCTTATTAAGAAAGAAAAATATACACTTCCCACATTTAGGAGTCTTCTGACCACACTTTCCTTGGCTGAAATTTCGATAATTCACCAAGCAAAAATAAAACAATAGAATAAGATTTCTTACTTTGAAAATGATGCACACATTCAACAAATGACAATAGTGAAAAATAGCAAGGGTAAAATAGGACCTTCTACTTGCATATAGGATGATAAAATGCATAGAAACATTGCCATGAAAATATGAATGAGATCATTAAATTCGTGTCAGAAGAAACATTGATATAAGAAATCCAGTTACATATATGTTTTGATGCCAAGAAACCATCCCTGGAGGAAACTTCTGATTCAAAGTCTGTGATGTGCTCATTACTAAGTTTCTCTGTCTTTCTCTAAGGATTTAACAAACACTTAATGACTCCATAAAGACATTCTACTTCCTGAATTTTGTAATGATTAAAACTACAGTCAAAGGAAGCAGAGCATATCATTTCTGAAAAACCATGTAATCATGGGCTTAAATTACAATTAGAAAATAATCAAATTAGCAAAAATACTTATGAACCCTCAGGTATCAACTGCATTGCAGGATATGACAAAGTACATTTATGTCTTGGCTTCATTGAATGACACAAATCATATCCAGTAAAAGTACAGCCACGCATTTAGTTACTTTAATGTTTTCCTTATCTAGCATGTATCTGCTTAGGCAGGATTTTGTGGTCATTTATTCACTTCGGAAGTAGTGTTTTAGGTTTTTCATGTGTATGTGTATCATCTATTTCTAAAAAATAAAACTTAATGTCCTGTTAAGTTCATTTTTTAATATATTGTGAAGGATAGTAATGGGTACTTATACCTATAATTGCAGCTATGGACAATAGGAAATATGAGATGGAGGGTGACTGTATATCCTAGAAAACCTAGTATGTGAAGTGATATCTTGCCTAGGAGACAAATAAACACTATTGGTAAATTTTAGGCAATGAACTTCTGAGGTAAGTCACAATATTATTCATCCTTTTGTAGGATCCTCTTAGTAAATCAGGTGTTTTGTGTTTTATGAAATACAATTTAATCATAACATAAATGTTAGAAATGAAGTTGCATTTATCAGAACAACGTTATATGTTCTCTTTAATAAGTAGTTTATTGAAGAGAAGTAGTGTCTCAAAAACTTTGCAGTTGTCTTCATATTAGGATTTTTTGTTGATAAGAACATCAAAATAGGCTCACGGTGGTGGCACATGCCATTAATCCTGGGACTCAAGAGGCAGAGGCAGGCAGATTTTTGTGAATTTGAGGTCAGCCAGCCTGATCTACAGAGTTAGTTTTAGGACAGCAAGAGCTATAAAATAAACACTGTCTCAAAAAACAAAAAATAAAAAATAAGCAAGTAACCAAAAAATTACAAACAAAAAACACATCAAAATAATTACACTCAAGATATAAAAATCAGTTCTTTTACTTAATTTTAGTGCTTTGAAATTATATTCTTAAATGGATATAGTACCTTTGGTAGAGTCCCTGGGCCAATCTTCAAATGCTCAACTAATTTCAAAACAAAGCTCTATTCTGGGATGATGGAGAATGGGAAACAGGGTAGGATGTATTACTTGAGAAAGGAATAAATACATATTTGAGAAAATGTATAAATAAATAATGGAATTTTCTGTCAGAGAATGTAGAGACTTTTATGTAAAGCAACATGTCATCTACAAATAAGGATAACTTTTTTATTTTGTTTATTGTTATAGATAAAATGTAGAACAATATGGTCAACAGGAGAGAATGGGTTTCCTTATCTTTTTCATGATTTTAGTTTATCTATTTTTGTTTATTTGTTTAGTTTTGTTTCTTGAGACATGGTTATTCTGTCTATCCCTGGCTGTCCTGGAATTTACTTTATAGACCAGGATGGCCTGAAACTCAGAAATCTGATTGCTGCTTCCTCCTGAGTGCTGGGGTTAATAGCATGCACTGACATGCTTTGGTTTTATTCTCTACTTAGCATGATACTGTTGTATGCTACCTTTAACGAATTGTAATATGTTTCCCTGTGTCTTAACAATACCAAAGTTTCATCACAAAAGGATAGTATAGTTTTGTTAAAGGTCTTTTCTTTATATAAGGAGATAGTAATTTGGTTTCTGATATTGAGATTATTTATATGTGATAAGTTACCTTTATTTATTAACATATTTTGAACCTATGTCGCATCTGTAGAGAGAAACAAACTTGTTCATGATGGGTAATCTTTTTGATGTATTCTCAAATTTAATTGCCATGTAGCTTATTGATAATAGTTGTGTTTATGTTAAGCAGGTAGATTGGACTATCATTTCCTGGCTAAATAAAAATAGTTTGAAGAATACCTTTCTGTTCTACTTCATAGAATAATTTATGGAGTTTCAGTGTTACTTTTTTAACCCCAGAATTGAGAGGAAGTGGCTCATGATTCTCAATGAAGTAAAGGTTAGCCTGTTAGTTACTTAGTTCAAGGACAATCAGCAATACATAGAGAGGCACTACCCCTAAGGAAACGATACTCATTCCCTCTGACTAACTCAACTACCAATGACTGTTCATCTAGGAGGGAACCTAAGGGTCTCCTCCTCCATTCATGGTGGAAAATTTATTTGCTAGGGCTAGTGCAAATCTTCTAAAGTTAATCATGCCTGCTGTGAGATCGTGTGTGTAACAGGAATGT